TGGCGCGGGGTCCGGCCGCCGCCGCTGCAAGGCAGGGGGCTCCGCAGCTCCGTGCCCTCGGTGCGCTCCGCCGCTGCGTCCCCGGGGACTTGGAGACCCCACGCGCGCGGCCCTCGGGGGACTGCTGGACACGGTGAGGGACTGGGGGTGGGATGGGGGGATCCCAGGAGGAGCCCAGGAAAGGAACCAAGTTCTACCCAAACTAGCAACCAGGGTGGGGGGAGGGGGAAGGGGAGATGCGCTCGCCCCCGGTCCTGCCCCCAATCCGCCCAGGACAGGGGCTTCGCCCGGGACAGGTGCAGTGCCAGTCGGCGCCCAGCGCTGCGGGTGGGTGAGTGGGGGCTTCCGGAGAATGGCGCGGGGTGGCAGGTGTGGTTTCAAGGCTCGGGGTTTCGGCAAGGGCTGCGCCCGGGATGAGGAGGTGGTCGCCACGCCACCGTGTAGGAGGACAGGTAGGGACTAGGGACAAGGAGCGGGGAGGCGGGCCGGGAGGATTGTTGGGCCCAGCAGGAGGGCTGAGAGCGGGCCGCCTTTGGGGTCCCTGCAGCGGGGCGGGGCGGGGGCGCCACGCTTTCCTCCGGGCCCCCCCTTATTCCCTACGAGGTGGGTGCGGCTTAGGAAAGCGGAGGCAACGTGGGCGTGCTGGGTGGACCCGAAGCTTGGGCATGTCCAGGTTTAGGGGGTGTCGTGGGAGTCCGCTTGGGGATTGCTTGGCTGGGGTGGGTTCGCGCCGGTTCTGAGTCCTGGCGGGATTGAGGTGAGTGGGCCCCCGCCAGGGGGCGCCCTTCCCCGGCCCTCTCATCCGCAGGAAGGCGAGCCCTGGCTCTTTGGAGACGACTGCACCGAAATCCAGGACACGCGATTCACAGACGCCCCAACACGCGCGGGGGCCCGCCCCGAGGAGCACCCCCGCCTCCGCCCCAACCGGACTGGGGAGAGGGTCCGAGGGTGAGGCTGGGGTGCCCCAGGTATAACTGCGCCGTGTGCTGGAAAGCTTGGCTGTCAGGAGGTGATTTTTCTTGGAGGTCTGGCAAGAGTGAGTGAATAAAAATTTCACCCCCAGAAAAACTAAAATGAAGAAACTACACTAACAGTGAATTGATGTGGAAAGAGAGGGTTGGAGAATTAACTTGCTGAGGTTTCTTGGAGTTGCTGAAATCCAAACCACGGAATGCACCCTTTTCGTAAAAGTTACACCTTTTCCCCTGGATCTGGCCAAATTTCTAGGTGTGGGCAGGCGGGGGTCTTGGGCTGTGTCCACTCATCCATCCTCTCTCTGGGCACAGTAAACCGGAGGCACAGGGGTGGGGGTGGTGGGCGCCCTTAAAGACTTTAGCTGTCCAGGCAGAATTGTTAAATTTCTCAGCAGTCAGCAAGAGCACCCCACCCCTTTGGGCCTGGAGTCTACTGGCCATATCCATCTGGTCACTTCATAATTGTTGGTGGAAACCTGCTCTGTGTCCCCTGACCTCAGGGCTGAGTCTGTGTGTCTGTGCCTTGGCAAGTGAGGTGGCTGCTGGTATATGTGAAGAGTGCCATCATATATGGGACTGTTCCACTGAAGGGACACTGGAGGGACTACATTCCCTCCCTCCTCTCTGCACCCCAAGTGATCACAAATGAGCAAATCAAAGAAGGGGCAGTAGCCTCACGGTAGCCAGGGAAGTTTTCATCTTTATCTTGGTTAGCAGTGTGTACTCATGGGACACCCCCTGCCCCATGTCCTCAGAGTCCCCTGCACAAAGGTGATGGAGATGGGATGGTCCCTGAAAGAGAGATGAGGTTCCAGAGTTCAATGTAGCCTGACAGATGTTTTTGTTGGATGCTACCAAAATGCTCCAGGACAAAGTTGCCATAAAGAAAGATCAGCGTAATTTTTATTTTGAGTAGAGGAGGAGGAGAGGAGAAAAAGGAAAGGGTGGAGAAGCCGGTTGTCTTTGGATGTGACTTTAAGACATTCCAGGGGGCAGGAAACAAAAGGCGGGTTTTTTTTTGTTTTGTTTTGCTGTTAATGACTTGTTTTTCTGTTGAGGGAAGCCTGCTTGGCACAGCCCTGCCCTTGGAACCTGTGTGTGAGCTTGGGGCCCCCAGAAGGCTGGCAGTTCCCCTGTTCTGCCCCTCCTCTCTGCACCCACCCACACCCCACCTGTCCTGAATTGAAGAGATGATTGAGGCTCCTGAGGGCTGCTGATGTCCAAGTTCAGACTTAGCTCAGACTTCACCCAGGCGAGGTCCAAGATCTCTGATAGCAAAATTTAAAGTCTTGGGCACTCTGTTTCCTGGTCTTCCTTGTTCCCAAATCCATTTGAAGAGATGATTGAGGCTCCTGAGGGCTGCTGATGTCCAAGTTCAGACTTAGCTCAGACTTAGTGTATCTTCTGGAGACTCAGACTTCACCCAGGCGAGGTCCAAGATCTCTGATAGCAAAATTTAAAGTCTTGTGCACTCTGTTTCCTGGTCTCCCTTGTTCCCAAATCCATGAAAATGGATGTTGTCTGGGACTTTTTTACTCAACCTGAGGTTGAAATGGCAGTATGTCAATGAAAGCTGCAGGACACTTTCTAGAAGCAAAAGTTAATCTGGAGTTGGGTTTAGGGCACCTTGAGTGGAGCAGGAAGGACCCTCTACCCTTTAAAAAATTCCATATCAACCTGGAAATAGCTCTCCGAGTTACCAAATGAGGTTTTAATGGTGTGGGGGATGGGTTAGAGGACAGGGTGCTGGGGCGGGGACAGGTCTGGAGGAGGCATTGAAGCAAGGGATTATGGCAGAGATTTGTGGAAGGGGGGCCAGAAAAGGGATAAACAACAGATTTGAAATCCAGCTCTTCTGGATCATCAATGTAGCCATGAGTGGGTCACTTCCCCTGTTGAATCTGCTTTTCCATCCTGTAAAATGAGGGTATTGCCCTAGGGGATTCTGAGGGACCTTGCAACTTAAAGTCAGGAGAGTCTAACCTTTTAGGGTCTGGACAGCCCACTCGGTCCTGCCTTCTGAGCCTCTGCTGGCTGGCTTGCCCCTCTGCCCACCCTTACACAGCAAAGTCCTAAGGCAAGTGCACCTGGCAGATTCTAAAACCTATTGTCCTCCGGCTTGTGTGAACACAGTGCTCAGCGGTTTTGGGTAGAGAGGGTAGCGTCGGTGGCCAGTTCCTGCTGGGAGTCCTGTGTCCGTTGACCTGCTCACTCATTGCTTTTCTCCGGATGCCTGTCCAGCCCCCACTTTTCCCTGGGAAGAGCCAACGTCGGTGGCTGGGCTGCACATTTTAGGGACCCCTCCCTTTCCAGAGGGCTGCTCTCCTGACCTATTTCATCAGTCATTGGAGAAGGAAAATTGGGAACATTTGTTCATGCTCGGCTGGGACGCAGCAAAGGCGGGGGGGGGGAGGGTTGGAAACTAGCACTTTGGTCCCACGGAGCAGATGACGCCAGTTGATCAGGCATTTCTGCCACCTGATGCCACTGAGCAAATGTGCCAGCTTGGGCTCCTCCTGCTGCCTGGACTGGCACCTTGGACCTGCATCAGTGCTCCATGCCAGGGATTGGGGGGCAGATAATGAAACACTAAAAAGAGGGAGATTGAGGTGATGAGCCCCAGTGTTTGCAGCTGCCAAAGCAGGTCTTTCATCTGGGCACTTGTTATCTTAAGACCCAGCCCTTGCCCTGTCTGCCCCCATGACTACTGGTTTAATTAGTGAATTAAACAACTTGGAGATGAGCAAAAACATGTTTGTGAGTCATGGGCATCTGTGTACATATGGGAAGGCAGCAGGATGGAGTGGAAAGGTTGCTGCGCCAGAGGTTAGAAGATTTGTGTTCTAGCCCTGATTCTGTTACAAATGGAGCCATGTGGCCTTGAGTGAGCCACCGCCCCTCTCTGAGCCTCAGTTTTCCTATTTCTTGAGAGGCAGCATTGCATGGTGGTTAGACTGCCTGCGTTCAAATGTCGTGTGACCTTCGCCATTCAACCTCTGGTGCCTCAGTTTCCTGGTCTGTAATATGGGACTAGTAATAACCCCATCAGATTACTGTGAAGAGTCAATCAAATAAAACTTGGAAAACACTTAGCACAGTGCCCCGCACATAGTAAGTGCTCAGTAAATTTTCACTAGCATCATTGTCATTATTATTACTATTATTGAGGAATGGGAGGGATCAATTTTGATCCTTTCTAATATTCTGTGCCATAGAGTGTGTGTGTGTGTGTGTGTGTGTTGTGTTGTGTGTGTGGATCAATTTTGATCCTTTCTAATATTCTGTGCCATAGAGTGTGTGTGTGTGTGTGTGTGTGTGTTGTGTTGTGTGTGTGAAAAATCTGCTTTTGGGGTGGAAGACAAGGGTGAATAAGTTACGTTTTTGGTTCTTTTCCTCCTTTCCCTTCCTCACTGAGGAACTCCTCCTGGATCTTGTGATTATTCTCACAGTGGCCCCATCCTTGTGGCAGGAAGCCCAATTTGACGTCACTGAAAATATCCTGGTTTCTGGCACTTGCGGGATGATATTTCATCAGCTAGTATTTGCCTATCCTCTCCCTTCCACCCTTTGTTTCCCGCCCTGAACCATAGTATGAAGACCATATGTGCAGATAATGAGTTTAGGCTGATAAACAATTCTCAGATTCACCCAAATAAAAGGCCATCTTCCTAGAAGACACTTTCGACTTTAGAGTAAATAATCTGACTCTTCTGTTGCGTTGCTTGATGTCTGGCTGGCCCTGCTCCCCTCTTTGTGTTCTGCTCTTGGTCTGCTGCAGGGACGTGGGCTGGGTCAGGTCTGCATCTAAGGCTTTGGACTTTATTGGTCCGTCCTGGCTGGGACAGTCTCTTCCGACTGCTCGGAGGGGACACCCACCCTCTGCCTCATAACCAGGAAGGCTGTTACTCTGAGCGATCCTAGTGATTGTTATCATGGGGCTAGACAGTTTGGGAGTGCTCACTATCGGTTAGGGCTAGACAACGCTTTCCTTTCCCTGATGATCCCTGATGTGCACGGCTCTTTATAGATTACAAACTGTATATATGGAAATTACTTCTGGGCAGATCATACTGTGTCTGTAACACACTGGAGGGAGGTGGGGCTCAGAGAGGCCTCGGGACTGACGAGTCAGTGCACACAAGGGCAGCACTAAGCCTGGCCCGTGACTTTCAGCCCAGTGCTCCCATGATCTCTTTTGCTTTACTGAAATTTACTGCTCTGAGAACTTTTTCCAGGACCTTCCAGAACCTACTTTTGCTCCTATCTCTTCCCCCAATTCCCAAATGATGTGGAGCTCTTGTATTCATCTTATATGTGTGTGTGCGTGCTGGGGTGAGGGCTGGGGAGGGGACTTTGCAGGAACTATCTGGAAGCTGAGGGAGTTAGGGGCATGAGGTGAGAGAAGCCATGGTTTTAGATATTTGTAGTGAGAGCCGTAGAAGTTTGGAGCCCATGTACACTGCTTGGGAATACTGTGCATTCAAGCTTGAGGTGCCTCCCAGAGCACACATGGGGTTACCTGTGGCTCCTGTCCCACCTACGCAAACCCGTGCTTGCCCTTTGCCTCCTTGTGGGATTAGGAAGGGAAGATTAGTGGGCCTCATGAGGCTTTCCAGCCGTGCTTTTCGGGGGACAGTAAGATGGCCAGACCCAGGTTTGAATCCTGACTCCTACTTAGCACTCATTCATCTCTCTGGGCCTGCCTCTATTTTCTCCTCTGCAAAATGGAAAGAATATAGAAATGGTAAAGCCAATCAAGTGCCTGTCACAGAGGAGGTGTCAACGTGTTTGCACCTCACTCCTCTTCCACTTGAGCAGGAAGGAAAAGCTGCTCCAGCATGGGAACAGCCCCTGGGGAGAGGCTAGAAGCTGCCAGCACACCTGCTCAGACTCTGGCTCCCATTCCCAGCAGCCTCAGGCTAGGCTCTTGTTGAACTTGTGATACAGCTTCCATTTGAAATGGGAGGAGAGTTC